AGGCTTTAGAGATATTGACCTTAGAAAGTAGCACCGAAACTACCAATACCCCAGGGTTGGGATTTGTGCATGCTTCTTTTTCTTCAAAGGAGAGCAGGTTGTCGTCGACCCTTCGGCGATGCCTTTCATTAATACCGATCTTAGCAAGGTCGGCTACAACAGGGGTTCTGGGGACCGAGATCGCAGCCTGCTGAAGGTGCTGGTCCTTCAACATTCGGACCTGAGGTTTGGGCAAATCGACATTGCAGGTCCTAGCCTCGGCTTGATACCCTCGCATCACCCCTGGACCACTTGTTGTTGGGAACTTGACGCAATAATGATTTATTGAGGTGGTTGCTTGTAGCTCATGCAATATGGGCCTTCCTAGTATGGCATTATAGTTGGTAGGTAGGTCCACGACGATGAAGTCCGCCAGGATCCTCCTTTGGCAAGGAGGGTCGCCCAACTCCACACTTAACACTATTTGGCCTCGTGCATCAATAGGGTCTCCAGAGAACCTCTGCAGTCTTTAGGGGTATGGTTGTAAGTAACGTTCCTGTATCCCCATTAGCTCCAAAGTTCGAGGTATAATATATTCACCGAACTCCCGTTGTCCACCAGGGTTCGATGTATCTGTACTCCGGCAACGACCATGGTCACAATTAGTGCATCACTCTGATCTTGAAGGATCCCTTGCACGTCTCTCTCTGAAAATCCGAACCATTCTATGTCTGGTGGGGTATTGCACTCTATTTCCAGGGGCGCAATACTGTAATTCTGCCACATCCGAGCATTTCGCGCTATCCTTCGTCGAGCTCTTCGTGATCCTACTAGGCATTGGTTCCCACTTATTAACATTTTAATTTCAGCTCGGTGTTGGGCATCGTGCACTTGAGGTACTAACCGACCTTGGGGGACATTTTGTGGGTCAGGATGCTGAGCCTCGACTGGATTAGATTCCCGGGGTTTGGCCACAAATTCCTGTAGGTGGCCTCGTCTAATGAGAGACTCCACCTCTTCTTTCAGGTGTCTGCAGTTGTCCGTGTCATGTCTAGCGGTTTTATGGTAACAGCAGTATTTTCCTTGGTATTTTCCAGCAGGTTCTTTTTTCAAAGGTGGAGGTCGGCGGAAGGTTTCCTTTTCTCCTTCCTGCAAGAAGACTTCCTCCAAAGTTGCGTTTAAAGGATGGTATTCGTGAAATTTGTCAGGATACGGCCCGGAGCGACCTTGATCCCTCCTGTCCCTTCTTTTCTCCCGACCTGGGTCTTTATCTGCCTGCTTTCCTTTAGCTCGGGGTGGAGATCGCGGTATTGATTTGGCATCTTCTTGATCTGATGTCGCTTCTTCTGCTCTTATGTACTTCTCAGCGCGTCCTAAGAGCTCGTGGTAAGTTCGGGGTCCGTCCTCATATACGGACCACCAGAACCTTGTTTTTGGTCTTAGTCCTGAGAGAACTGCCATCAGCGCAGCATCATCGGAGATCTTTTCTACTACCATGGATTGCTTATTGAATCTGTTCAAGTAACTCTTGAGTGATTCAATTTTCCCTGCTTTATACTTACCAACCTCTC